TGAGCTTGATGTGGTTATCCTATTTTATCCTAATACCTTCCTCGGCCCCTTTAGGGTTTTCCCATTTAGACTGATTTGGGCCTGATATCGATAACGTACGTAAAACCTATTGCAGCATGTCCTACTATCTCTAATAGCCTGATGTAGATACCCTACCTGAGTCCTTTTACGGCATATCCTATTAAGACTTATGTGACACTGATGTGGATACCCTATTTCATCCTAATATCCTACTTCAGTCCTTTTAGGGAATCCCTATTTAGACTGACTTGGGCCTGATATCGATAAATTATCTATAACCTTTTACAGCATGTCCTATTATGTCTGATAGTCTAATGAGGATACCTTACTTGAATCCTTTTCGCCATGTCATATTAAGGCTTATGTGACCCTGATGTTGATACCCTATTTCATCCTAATATCCTACTTTAGTCCTTTTAAGGCATCCCTATTTAGACTGACTTGGACCTGATATCGATAACCTACGTGAAACCTTTTACAGAATGCCCTATCATGTTTGATTGTCTGATGTAGATACCCAATTTCACTATAATACCCTATCTCAGTCCTTTTAGGGCATCCCTATTTAGACTGATTTGAGCCTGATGTAGATATATCAATGAATAAACGTTCAATATAAAATAAACCAATTACAAACCCAAAAGACAATTTTCTTTACACAAAATGTTATGTTAATAGAAAATTGTTAAATTACATAAAATATAAACTATTCTAAAAAAATATTCGCACTTTACTACTTATGCATATGTATTTATTTTTTTGGACCCGCGAAGGCCATCCTCTTTTTTGCGTCCATAACCGTCGCTTTAAACGACTGTATTGTTTGTAGTCACTTTTAAAGGAAGTCCGTCAACCCCAACACGACAATGTTAACTTGTATGTAGATCTTTTTGTCAATACTGATGATAGACTTTGCAAATAGTGAAAAATAAGTACACACAAATTTTGTGGAATGTAATACAACATTTTTGAGATTCAATAACCTTCGCTTTTAACATTAATCCCATTTAGAACAAGTGCAAAAAAAGAAGTCATGTTCTCTTGTATACCTACTAAGTATTTAATTATTAACTTGATAATAACTTAACAATCAAATACGATGAGCAGTTTTCCGTTTTTCTAGATCCAAAATGAAAAATTCACAATAAACGAACTTTTTGAAACATTTGTTTCTTTGGTTTTAACTGATCGTGAAAGCGCACGCCTGTTTACATTTAAGGTAGAAAATGTGCGCAGAGGGCAACGTACTAACAACAGCCACGTGTTATCGTACTTTGTACGTATGTAATAAAGTTAATATGCACATTGCATAATCTGATGCCCGGGCTATAATTAATAATATTACTGCTGATGCGGCACGGTGTCGCGTGGATAGACGATGGATGATGATGCTATGATGCTTTAAATGCATCGTCCAGCTGCTTATTTCGTTCAGTTTCATATTCTACACTTAGGAAATGAAATGGATATTGACCTTTGACAGTTCAGACATTTATTATCTTTTCTAAAGGTTAAAAAGGCGAATATGTATCCCTATCTGAACTCTTTTACGGCGTGCCCTTATTAAGACTGATGAGGATATTTTACTTTAACCCTTGAACAGTATCCCTTGTTTACACTTTTAATGGTATGTCCTATTAAGACTGATATGGTCCTAATGTCGATATCCTACCTCAACTTTAACGATATGTCCTATTAAGACTAATGTGACCCCGATGTCGAAACCCTGTCTGAACTCTATCACAGCATACCCTATTAAGACTGATACGGATACCCTATTTCAACCTCTGAAAAGTATACCCTGTTTAGACTGATGTGGTTCTGTTATCGTTTTCTATCTGATTCCTTTTAAGGGTGTCCCATTATGACTGATGCGGTCTTAATGTCGATGTCCTACCTGAACTCTAACGATATGCCCTATTAAGACTAATGTGACCCCGATGTCGAAACCCTGCCTGGACTCTATCACAGCATACCCTATTAAGACTGATACGGATACCCTATTTCAACCTCTGAAAAGTATACCCTGTTTAGACTGATGTACCTCTGTTATGGTTTTCTATCTGATTCCTTTTAACGGTATGTCCCATTAAGACTGATGCGGTCCTAATGTCGATATCCTACCTGAACAATATGCCCTATTAAGACTAATGTGATCCTGATGTCGAAACCCTGCCTTAACTCTATTACGGTATGCCCTATTAAGATTGATGTGGATACCCTATTTCAACCCTTGAACAGTATACCCTGTTTAAAATGTGACCCTGATATCGCTTTTGTACCTGAACCCTTTTAAAGGTATGTCCTATTAAGACTGATGTAGATACCCTATTTCAACCCTTGAACAGTACAACCTGTTTAGACTAATGTGGCTCTGTATCTTTTGTACATGACTTCTTTTAACGGTATGCCCTATAAAGACTGATGTAACCTTGATGTCGATATCCTATCTGAGCCCATTTTCGAGATGCCCTATTAGGACTGATGTATCCTGGATGTGGAAACCCTTTAAATGTTTATGTTATTTAGCCTGATCAGGCCTTAATAAGATTATTTTTTAGTTGTAGGAATAACTTTTCCAAATGGTCTAAAGGAGTTCGTTCTTTTTCTCTTTTGAAAACTGCTTATTAGTAAAGGTTTTTTTTCCGTTTCCATATTAGTTTGCAAAAAAGTGCATTTGTTATAACATAATAGTACACATTTTGCGAAGGTCAATAACCAGGCTGGTCACTTGTTTAGCATAAATTCGCAATATTTGCAACTACGTACCCACATAGGTGTGCAATAGCAAGTTTTCCCACGCAATTTGAAACCCTTGCTGGCCTTTGTTTCTTTCAGCAAAGTAAAATTCTTCACTGTTACTACCTAATGCGCACTTTTTCCGCATAGGGTAACTAGATCCTTGGAAATTTTCAGTCAAAAGCACCTGAACTTTTTCTGATACATGGTCGGTTACGACTAATTAATTTTTAAAACTCTAATGAACATGCGTAATCATTTCTGTATTGTACGTCTATTTATCGCTAGTTTTACATTAACGTTTCGTTTCTTCTTTTAATAAACCAAATTACATATTTGCAAACACTTAGCGACCTTCATACTTGTTACTTCATCCACTGATTTAATTAAAATTGACTGTGGTATCTTTTTAGACCTTCTGGGGAATTAATTTTGAAGGCAAAGACTAATTACAATACATGTATGTAAATTGTTTACCTAAAGTACGTAAGCCTGTCAACCGTGTTTTGTCTTGCATTAAATAATTTTATTTACGATTATACTCGAAGCAAAGGAATATCGAATTAAATTAAGATTTAATTAGTGTTACAATTGATATTAAGTAAAAATAATTTGTGAACTACAAAAGTTAGTGAATATGAAAAAACTTAATGTATAAAAAGATTTTGTAATAACGATCATAGATATGTTATTTTCTCAATCCCCTGTCAATTTTTGCTGATTTTGATTCGTTCTTATCTATACACCAGAAAATACCTTTTATCATGCAATAATTTTATTGCCAGTGGTAAAAAAACGTTTAATTTTATTTTGAATAATCACTAACCTCGCAGCTAATAATTAATCTTGTGGTAAAAAGTAGCCCAGATCTTTTTGACAATATTCTCTTCGTATAGGAAAAGTCCCATCAGATACACCTGTAAAAGACAGAAATACTTTTTAACAGCCATTTGTATCATAATAATAGCATAAAAGTGTATAAAACGCTAAAAAAATTAAATATTGTAGATATTTCGATTTTAACAGACACCTCAATTTTATTTACAACAAGCAGGGCTACCCTCTCGCTTCGTTCAGGAAAACTTAGTTAACATTCGTTCTCGAACTTTCTAGAATATTCTAAAACATTTTCGAACCTTGTAGATGTAAGGTATTCAGGAAAAAGCGGTGACTTTTTCTGTAACCTTCTGATCAGATGTCAGAACTCTATTAACATCTTTACTGACTAAATATGAAGATTGGAAAAACATCACGACACTTCAGTTTTCAACAACGTGTTTTTGGCGTTGGGGTTTGAGCTATTTTGTTTGTTCTACCTTTACTGACTCTCTATATGAAATCCTTTGATAGGCGATAGTCTTTTAACCCTACTATCTGTAAAACCAACCCTTGCAGCTGAAAATCGAAACCTTCGTCACGAACGGTGCATGGAAGACTATCATACCATACAACCCTCATGAGGCTGCGGGATTCAGTTACAGCTGGAGCGACACATTTTTGAATTTGTTAACAAATTAATCTTAGAAATAAGAAATATAAGTTTATAAAATTATAAAACTTTCTGCTGTTTTGTCACGATGCATTACAATCTATTGCATCTTCAAAATTGGCAAAATAATCTTATAAAACTTTTGACTATTAACTCCGGATGTAATAACGCACGTGAGTTAAAAAAATTACCAAAATAATTTCTATTATTACACGCTACATTCCGTTATCTAAAAAAATCAGTCCACATCTGGGTGTTCTTACAGTGAATGAAAATCCCAAACTAAACTAAAAAAAGGACGTCATGAATGTATGTGTATATTTTGTGACGATGGAACAGGAAAATGTCAACACCCACAATACCAGATGTAGGTATATATAATGTAAATTGTACGCATTAAGTAAATTTACGCAAAAACTTTTAATTTCAACGTACAAGTAGCGACTCGGTGACGCCTTCAGAACTCCTTCGTGTGAAAGCGGTATTATGAAATGACTAGTTGAACCCGTTTAAATTTGGATGGACAAATACCATTGTGGATGGTGCATACTATTAACATTTTAATCATGGCGAACTTCCATACTGTAATCTAATCTCACCATAAACAGTACTTTGCATATACCAATTCCATAATTTAATTAGACGTTTTAATACTCAACTAATTCCAACGAATGTCGCATCATCATAAGAGATAGATGCACCGATTTTCATTACAAATGCGTAAATATCTATAATAGCAGTAATGTGATGGTGGTGGAAGTAGAAAATGTTGATAACAACGAAGATGACTTTTGTTTATGTTTTGTTGCACAGAACAACTCCGCGAACATTGTTTACCAACGAAAAATTAAATGTCATGGTCAAATGCATCTGCTGTTTTAATGGTAAGTCAGCCATATACATATTAGAAAGCAAACTGTTCAATCAACAAAATTGTTATCTTGTAAAGTTCCGTTTTCTCCAAAAAAAAGGTGCCGGTATCAACAGAATAAAGGTTAGAAAATATTATGATTAATAAATCACAGTTTACGCAGTCCTATTTAAATGAATGTAATGTATACATATTAATACAAACGAAAACTATGGTAAATATATACGTTTCCATGTAATTTTTCACCTGCTATTTTCAAAATTATTTTATCATTAAAAAGCCTGTATTTTTATCAGGTTACAGCCTTTACCGAATAAGCATGCATAGAGAGATTTAGCAGTTGCTTAGTAAATTAGTTTGTCTTCAAACTGATTTAATTAAAAAAATAAAATATAAAAAAAGACACTGCAAAACTCAAAAATTGCTTGACATATTCAGTCTCGAAATTGAAACAATGTTTCTTTAGAATTCTCGACGTACCTAATCGTAAATTTCGGGACTATTTCTGAAATCCCAGATTTTGAATAAAATCCCGAGACCAAATACCGGGCCAGGAAGCGATAGTTCGTGATGGCCCTAAGGTCTTGTATAATGTAATTTCTATTTAGTAAAATAAAAACTTTAGACCAGTATTCTTCGTTTTTAAACATGTAGAATTTGTAGTACAATTTTCCAGGCTTGATCTAATTTTCCAAATAAAGTTACACAACTGCTGCGTACAAGATTTAAATGCGAAAATCTAGGAGAAAGTAGGACTGTTTATAAATAAAGTTAATGCAATTATGCCTATGCATACGTAAATGTAATTCACATATAATATATCTATGTAGTATGTAGGTAAATTGTTTATAAATAATTAACCTAGTTTTGATTTTGCTAATCGGTATCAAATTTAAATTATTGTTATAAAAAATATCCGATGTAGGCAGTATTTTACAATACAATAGTTGTGCCAGTGGGTCAGCCGAGCAAAATTTATTTATAAATGACAGCAGATTTTTGTTTCGTAATTACACACTTTGTATCGGAATTGTAGAGGGTCAAGAACCTTTATTTTAATTTTAATTTAAGAAATTTATTTGCTTTTCGGAATTAATTCAGAATGATTAGCTAAAAAATATATTTCCTTGCCGAACTTTTCTTTTATCGTGGAACAGTTCTATTTGCGTTAACAATGTTTTGTTGCAGTTATTTAAACATGAATTAAAATCACAAAAAGAATTGAGCGCATAATTAAAAAGAAATGAAGACTCACAATCAATACTTCTACCATTTTCAGATAAATGAAAATTCTCTTCGATTATTTTGTGTTAGAAGATTGCAAAGTACTCATATTTGATCTTCAATAAAAATTCCTTATTTAAGACATTTATTGAACAACATTATTCTATTTTGTTGTTGTCTTTGGAATTCTATGAAACACTACAGAATTCACTATCACAATTAGGGTTGCCACCCGTACTTTATTATAAAGTATTCTTCTCTATTTCGACTGTGCGTACGTTATACTTTACAAAATACATAAAGTACGCAAAAATACTTTATTTAAAGCCTTACGTAAACATCGTAATTTTGTAAGCGATTATTCAAAATTCAGAGTACTTTTATATCAATAATATTGCACAGAAAAATGACAAGCCATATTTACGGAACAACCTGATTTCCCAAATCTGTTCAAAGTAGTGTCACTTTTGCTGTCCGTTCCGGCCACTTCAGCATTTACAGAAAGAGTATTCTCTGTTATGAACACAAAGTGGCGGGACGA